TTTGTTGACACAATGTAGATGGAGTAATATATTCTTTCCTCTGTCCCCAAGAAAAGTCGTATAAAATAATTTTTATGTAAATAAAATAAAATTATTTAAAAGTAACTTGACTATAAATGTTGATGTGAAAAGTAATGACGACAAGAAAAAAAAATCATGGCAACAACAAAAACAACAAAAAACATGATTACACAAAAAATTCAAAGCAGTGAAATAATGTTTTTGCCTTTTATTTTCTTCTCAGTATTTTGATGTAAGTTACAAAGATCAAAAAATAAAATCTGGGCTCAGTCCCAAAAGGTTAACAAGTGGCAGGAATTTGTTTTTCTTTGTTGAAAAACTTCACTTCATTTTATGTTGATCATTTGAAAAGATGACACTTTAGGCAGTATATTAAAACTAAAACAAAATGGTACTTTATTGCTTTTAAACCTATAAACTCCATATTCTACATTTGATGATGAGATGGCCATATGGTCATGATTTTTGGCAAAAAGAAGTATTTACAGTGTCTCCAAAACTAATGGGAGTGAATTTCAGGCAGTTTGAAAAAAGTTTAGAGCACATTTCTTTCTTAAATTCACACACATCTAAAACAATATACACATATTGTTATGTACATTAAAACTTAAATGATATTTGGCCTAAATGTTCAAACATTGGCATCTCATTATTTACACTATTTATATTCAGACTATTGTCCTCATGTTTGTTGTTGGCATCATGTTTCATATATTGTGCCTCCAGCCTTCCTCAAATATATATCAATCTTGATAACCTACAGAATTCTGAATTGAACCCTTTATTTAATCTATGGGGGTAGACTGTTCTTGTTCAACTGCTCATGTCTAGAGATATCCTTTCTTATTTTGTTCTTGTTCAATGGCCTAGTAGATAAAATCATTGGTTTGTGATTTTGGTGATATAACGGTTGTGATTTCAATCCCTAGGTCAGACAGTGTGTACTTGCACTCACTGGAAACAGCGAGTAATATTTGAACAGTACTAAATAAAAATAAGTACTAGAGGAGATATCCCTAGACATGGGCAGTGGAATGAGAACAGTCTCACCCAATAGATTAAATAAAGGGTTCTCTTCAGAATTCCCTGTAGGTTACCAATATACACATGAGGAAGGCTGGAGAGTGCCACAGCTGAAATGTTGTGATGACAACAACAAAAATGTAGGCAATCGCCTGATTATAAATAGTGTAAATAATGATAACTTCTCATCTCAGAAATTCAGAAAAAATTATTGGCATATCATTATAACATCCACCATGTTTTACTCTATGTTGGATGTAAACTATTCAATCAACGTCTGCATGAGTGATGGTTGCCCAAAATAACATTTAAACAATTATTTTTTATGTGATGTCAGCAAACAAGGAATGGATTTTGCAAAACCAAATTTCAGTTTTAAACTTAATATTCATTGACATGAATTTCAAAACACACTGGTCGGCTCAAATATCTCCCCAATGATCTGACAAAGATCTTTGATCTTGTGGTGATTTTTTTCAAGAATTTTTATCATCTCAACATGTTGATGGTTTACCAGATCATGATTTAACTTCAAATGATATTTCACCTTATGTCAGGTCACTCTATGAGTGCTACTGGAACCATGTAACCTAATACTACCTGCCACATGGGCAGGTCATCAGTAATTAAACCAGTTCCCCAACCAGGCTTTTCTGGTGAGGCAAATGGCTAGAAATCCAGATCAAAACAAGACCTCTCAAAGAGTAGATGAACCTTCTTGTACTGTGAATGGCCATCAAGAAGAATGGAGTAGATTGGGCCAGTGCAGTGATGACACTGCATTACTTTCTTCCGAGACTGAAGTAAGCATCCAGAGCAGAGGGTTCTCCTGATGGACACAATAGCCACTTCTAGGACCAAGGTGAGCCTTCAAGTTAGAGGACATTGGATGCAGTTTGACCTGAACAGGGATAGGCTGTACAAGATATACTTGTCCAAGATGTGCTACACATGAATGAATACAATGCCAAGCATTTCAGCACATATACGTGGAGGCAACTGGCCAGGTGCCCAGCTGCTCAGTGACCACACCTGGTCATGGGCTGATGATGATGATAATGGTGATGAAAATGATATTTCACTACATCTGAAATGAAAATGCCACTTGAACATTTATATTTTTCTTAAAACTTCTTCTTTCAATGCTTATTGAAAAATTGTAACCATCTCAGTAACAGTTTTTCCAATAATAACTTCACATGCAATCATTTTTATGTCATTCAGCAGAAATTGCTAAAATTGGTCAATCAAGAACAATTGCCAGAATGACCTTGGAATAATGTTGGCTCATGACACCCAGGGGTACAATATGCAACTGCTCAGTATGAGTGTCATATTGAAATTCCAGATTTTTGGGGAAGGTAGGGGTAAATCTTTTGCATATTGTCGATCCTCCCACATCTGATATCTTACCAATAGTCTGCATTATTTTTATGGTGAGCACAATCTCTCATTTCTGAAGATGATGTTAGTCTTCATTTTCAGAAGTGGGACTTTTGTGGTATCACCTTTACATTTTTTTTATACTTTCTATACTAGAAATAAAACCATACTCAACATGACTAACAAAGATACAAGGAAGATTAGATTCATGCCTTCCAAAAAGGACTAAGTACAGTACTTTCAAAATTCAAGCCCAGCTTGATGACTCCATTTTTTAAATTTTGCACTAAACTGTGCCTTTTTGAGTTTCAAATAGATGAGGTGGCTGGAATAAAAAGGGTAGTTGGATATTTTTTAAGAATTTTTCAGCAATAAAATGCTTTGTCTTAGAATTCTCACTGTATGAATTAAGAGGTGAGAGAAAATTTCCTGGATATTAAATAAAAGCATTGGTTGGAATAGGCATATTTCAGTCATCTTGGTTTGTCTATTTGAAACTCATAGGTAACTGCATCTAAATTGGAATAACTTGCAAAATAAATTGATGTAAAACTCCACAACATGGTTTATAAAAAATGACAGCACAATAAATAGATTTAAAATGGTTTTCATAAACAAAACAAACTGACATTAACATTTTGCAATAAGACATTGTTTAATTTTGTATTTTAAGCTTGTTTAAAGGCAGAAAGTTGTGGAGAACCATGATCATACAGATCCTAAAGGGACATGATGCATAAAAGAAGAATAAGAATTGTTTTTTTCTTTCAGCTTTTTTAAAAAATCTCTTTATAAAAATTTAACATGAATAATATTTAGTCATATATTCCAAAAATGTTACAAATGTCATTAAATTGATCATGCTTCTTGTTTCTTAATCAAATATTGATTAATTAAACTTTTTTCAAATTATCATCGTCATTCTAAAATTTTCCAAGATACAAAAGTTCTGCATACCAATATTTATTTACTATATAATTTAATATCTATCAACAAACTTCATTCTGATGATGACGATCCATCATCATCATCATCATTTGTATATGTTATGTTTTCTGCTTTGTATCCTGTAGAGCCGGGTTCAAACTATGGTCCTTAGGCCCTATAGGAGAATTGTTATTTAATTGATAGCACTTTTATTAATATATTGTGTGTTCCTAGTAGGGTGATCTTCTGGGAAGCCTGTATGTTGATGTGGTTGTTCGTAAAATTGTCCATTCCTTTTCTCATGAGACCAAGCGCTCCAATTACTATTGGTACAGTCTCAGTCTTCATTCCCCACATTCTGTTAATGTCGATCTCCAGGTCATTTTATTTGGACAATTTCTCGATAATTTTCATGGAGATGTTTCCCTTAGATGGTACTGCTTTGTCAATAAGCATACACTTCCTGAATTTCTTCTCTTTTATGATAATATCAGGTCTGTTGGCTTTTATTTTCCTATCATTTGAATTGGCATGTCCCAGAGGATAGTTACATCATTATTTTGGGTAACTGTGTCTGGTTGGTGATCATACTATCTCTCAGTGGTTTCAACTTTGGGCTTCTTGCATATCTTCCAGGGCACATATGTTGCTACCTTGTTATGTCTGTTTGTATATTCATTTTTGCTAGTTCCAGACATCCTGAGATAATATGATTGACATTTTCATTATATTTTCCACAGATCTTGTATTTCAGGTTAGTTCCATCCTTGACTATATGACAGTGATAGGATATGATTGAGAAGCTTTGGTCCAGAGCTACAATAACTAGGCCTTCTGTCTCAGCTTTCAACCTAGTGCTTTCTGTTGGTCCACATCTACTTTCATTCTTTTTAGATATTTGCCATGCAACACCTTGTCCTCCCAGTTTTTTTGTAATTTCATTTGGCTAAGGTGTTTTGCTTTCTGTTTTACTTGTTTGGCATAGATGGTATTTGCTTAATATTTTGCAGGTAGGGTTTCAGGTATATTAAGCTGTTTCTTGAAGAATACAGCTTCTTTGTTGATGGAGTGAATTTGGTATTTTACTATTTGTAGAAGAGGGTCATTGGTTTTTGTGAGGTATGCTTCCAATCCGATTGTTGCAGTTTTTAGAGTTAGTTCAAGTTAGATTAAACCTCGGCCTCTTAAATCTCTTGGTACGTACAGCCTATCAACATCCGATTTTGGGTGGTGTATCCTCATTTGGGTAAGCATTTTTCTGGTCTTGGCATCCAATCTTTTAATGTCATTCAACTTTCATTTAATAATGCTGAAGCTTTATATTACTATGTTGTTGTTATTATTATTATTATTATTATTATTTGCTATTCTAAAGATCAACCCGTTTGGTCATTGATATTTTTGCATGTATATATAAACAGAATCTAAATTTCACAAAGCAACATCTGATGTCATGCAGTTTTCCCTGACATTCCATTGTTATTTTGTTATTTTTTTTTTTTTTCAACTTGTGTGTCATGAAGTATTGATTTCACTGGGCTGATAGAAAACAACACTTTTGTTGAAAGGCAACAACTGTCTTTTTTGGGTACAGTATGTTGATAGTTTCTATTTGTTTACATTTGTTGTCAGTAGAATTCTTCAACATCCGCTGAAAAAACAAGAAAAGAAAAACTGTATTACTACCAAAATAATTTTCAGATTTTTATTTTCATTATCATAAAATTGTAATATAGTTTTAAACATTCTAATATTAACAAAGTCAGGCTTTGAAAAAACATCAATAATCATTCAGTATAATACTGCGTTTTTATAATTTGTATTTTACAGAGGTCAAGGAGAAGGATTTTAAATTTAGCATTTAAAATTAACCACAAACAACACCATTCTTTGTGTGCCTATTTCAATAGTAAATGCTTTCCAGAAAAATCCCTATAGCATTTCTGATAGTTTTATATAAAAATATATTTTTTTAAATCACTTTACAACATTCCTATTTCTATTGTTTAAGGTAACAGAAATAGCCAACATGATGGATGTGTCAGCAGTGCATTTAGTTATGTGATGGCCTACTTGTAAAATGTACCTTGTACAAACAAGAATAATACCTTCTCTGATTTTCAAAGATGTTCTGTTGTTATGAAAATTTGGCCTGTATGGGAAAAAAAAATTAATATTCTCAAATATCTTATTTTAAACAGCAGAGATTTATGGAAGACATATTGTCAACATTGCCACAAATAGCTACAAGTCATTGATTGACAGAGTAAAATGTGGGACTTGGTTAAGGGTTACTGAGCAGGTTGCAGGCTTTATAACAAGCTATGAGAAAACTCCATAATGACATAAAAAATTTGTATAAATTATTAACTTGCTTGTTTTTGCCAAGTTGAAAATTGTTACTTATTTTTCTTTTCTTTGCATTCATTTGTTTTTTATTTACACTTCAACAGATTTAGCAATGTATGTAATTTAATCAAAGCTGATTTCCTGTATTGTACTAGACAATTTTTCTCCCCTGAATCTATCTTACATATTTATAAATCTACCATTCTTCTATGTAGTGAATATTGCTGCCACATATGGTCTGGTGCTCCTGCTATTTATTTAGAGATCCTTGATAAAATCCAAAGAATCTGCAATGTTGATGGTCCTAACTTGACATGTCCACTTCAATCACTTACCCACCATCATAATGTAGCCTCCCTCTACCTGTTCTATAAATATTTTCATGGTAATTGTTCTATGGTATATAGACTTTATAAATTTAAATGCAGTACTAGATTGGCAGCAAGGTCTCATGATTTTACAGTTGAAATGGCTAAATGTAACTGTAATAATTTCTTCTCTTGCACATCTCACTTGTGGAATGCTCTTCTGGCTTCTGGCTTTATTGATCTTAAAAAATGCAATGTGAATTTTTATCTTCTGTATTCCTGTTAGTTTCTTGTTTTCACTTCTTAATAATGTTTCTTCTTTTCTTATATTCTTCCACACTCTGTAACTGCCTACATTTTAGTGGCTTTATTTCCTTGCTTGGAGTGAAATGTTTAAAAAAAACATTAGACAGGAAATGTTTTATATATATATATATATGAAGAAATATAGTTTTAAGGTGTGCTATATTTATGGTATAAAGTGCTCAATATCAGAGATAGGGCATATGTAAATATAAAAGTGAACATTGCAGTCAACCCTCAGAGGCAACAGGCTGTTTCATGCTAGCCTCTGAATGTTGACTTCAATGTTCATTTTTTATAGTTATATATATATACATATATATATATAGAGAGAGATAGATATAGATATAAACATACAGACACACACACATATATACACACACATATACACACATGCACACACACATATCTATATGTGCACACACATCTATGAATACACACACACACACACACACATATATATACACACATATATATACACACACACACATACATGAAATGTGTCACAAGTAATCTTTTTCCACTTTGTCATACAAAATCCCCAATATTGTCCGTGATATATAAAAGTATATATTGTTATCACACACACACACACACACACACACATATATATATATATATATATATATATATATATATATATATATATATATATATATATATACACACACACACAAGGGTGAGTCAAAAAGTAATGTAATTTGTTTTATTATATAAGAAATAAGGAATATAGTCAAGTATGGCATGGCCTTGATTTTGGATGGTCTGTAGCACCCAAGTTAGTGGTAAGTTATTCACCATTTGGAAAAAACAATAGATGAATTGAAAAAACACAATGTCTATTCTTTTTAATAAAACTTGTTTAAAAGAACAATTGCTGCCTAATTATACTAAATTATATATATATATATATATATATATATATATATATATATATATATATATATATATATTTCAATTAAAAGGTGCAAATATAATTTATAAATTCATGAATCATTCATACAAAAAAAAAAATATAGAGGTTAATGATATATAAACGGGGATCATATCATTCATATACAGGTTCGGGGTTGATGTATCTTATTTATATAGTTTTGCGATGATGTATTCTCGCCATTTAAATCATTAACCTCTATATTTGTTTTTTTGATTATGAATGATTCATATATATATATATATATATATATATATATATATATATTATTATTATGTATTATTTTAATACCTATAAAAAACCCATATAATACAATTTGTAAATCTGTAGAGGAAGGCATTGACCCCATACTAAAATAGGAGATAATAAAAAAAAAATGATTGCCTCTTATAGAGGAAAAATTAGCCATAGCCACTTATAATAACCCCAACATGTTACTTAACCAGAGATCGGAAATTCTAAATGTGTGTAGACACAAAAAAGCCTGGTTACTTGAATAAAAGGTTAGTGAGTTATTTTTTTTGTTTTGTTTTTTTGGGTGGCCGTCTTTTGCGTAAAATATCTTTGGCCTACCCTTTTGTTTTACTTGTTTTGTTCTTGTTTTGTTTTTATGCTAATTTTATTATTTTACAGTGACTGTTTTTACCAAAAAAATGTCATTTGGATCTATCCCCTCTAGCCAGTCATACACTGAAGATCTGTTAGGTGAAAGCTTGGTAGGTAAGTTCTGACTCACTAGGTTTTAGAAATGGAAAACTATAAGAACAAGCTTAAAAAAAAAAAAACTAAAACAAATATCCAAAATATATAATAATGGCTCACTACTCGTTTTTGAGCATATCCATCTGCTAGGGTGGCCAGCCAATCCCTGTTGCATACGCCTGCTCAGGCACATTAGTGTTTGTTGAACACCCACAGGGTCTACTAGTGGTTTATACTACAACTATGCAGAGTGGACCTTAGTTGCAGTTTCTTGGGGAAAGTACATCATCAGGCATGGTCAAAAGTTTGAACAAGGCCTGTACTCTCAAACCCTTAGTCATGATGACTTGTGACTTTGTTCTAGCACAACTATCAATGGCCTCTGAGCAGTTCCATCTATCCAATTTCACTCATAAGGCCTAAGTCAACCTATGGAATGCAATCACCTTGTCAAATTGACCATGTTGAAATTTGAATTCAGGTCATATGGTTGAAAAGTAAATGTTCTGACCACTCAGCTGGACCCTATTTATATATATATATATATATGCATGAGTTTGTCGTTACTTGGAAATCTTCCATGCAAACAAAACAGACTATCATTGTGGCTATGTTATGTCCGTGTATTGTTTAATTTATTGTAATGTACTTGTCATCTCTGATGATGGCTTATGTAAGCCGAAAGCATAGATAGGATTAAGAAACATGTATCAATATGGTGACTTTCTTCTGTCTTTCAATGATAATGTTATTAAGCTTATCTGACAATATGAAAGGAATTTGCTTAAAATAAATAGACAAAACTTGTCTATATTATTTAATGAAACATGCATATATATATATATATATATATATATATATATATATATATATATATATGTAAAGGTTTATGAATTAAAAATGAAAAAATATAAGCAGATATTTTTATATATAGTGCTCAATATTAAAAATATTAAAATGATATTAAAAATAGAGCATTAATAATATTAAAATTTACTTAACTGTAAATATCAAATCCTTTTTAGTTGTTGTATCCCCAATGCTGAAGTTTCTTGGTGCCAACCATTCTTCAGATTGTAAAGTTTTCTTTGAAATTAGAATTTTTTTTTTTATATTGAAGTTGTTGTGGTATGTTATATTATTAATAAAATTTTATAGTATTTGTTAATTTGTATTATGAATGAAATTATAATATTAATTAAATTATAATATTTTATTCTGCATTTGATGTATTATGTTGTATTATTAACATGAAAATTAATTAAAGTAAATATTTGTTAATATGTTGGCATCTATTTACAACCGGAAGAAAAATTCTATAACTAGAAAAATTATGAGGATTACAAATAAAAGACGTAAACAAAAGCAGAAATCCATGAACATGCACTTGTAAAAAAAAGCAAAATTCATGAATGTAAAATGGATTAAAAAAGAAACAGAACAAAAATGAAAAATTGGAAATATGCCCATTTAAAAACAGAATCCCCTGAAGAATGGTTGACACCAAGAAACTTCAGAGTCAGGGATACAACAACTAAAAAGGATTTGATATTTACAGTTAAGTAAATTTTAATATTATACATATATTTTGTTATATACCATACCTATTAACACTAATGGGTATGTCCCAATCCTCATAAATATGTTGGAAAGTGGATAAGTGGAAGTAATATGCTGTCTAAGTAGTCCACCACTAGCAGGGGGTTACCTACTTCATGCCGCTGGTGAGTATTGTATCTTGTTGAGGTTATAAAGATTACCATTTCATTTCCAAACTCCATTTTGGTTATTCCTCATTCAATAACCTTTCCTAGGTTACAACACACACACACACACACACACACACACATATTAGGAAATGGATTAAGTCCAATAATTATTTAATATATTTTCTGTCTATATGTTATTCTTATAGATATAATTTATTTAAGTAAATACTCTGTCTTTTAATTGAACAATATGAATTACATTTACTGGCCTGAATGTTTGAGAAATTTTGTAGGAAAATATACACTCTCCAACTGGAATCAAACATGTAACCTTTATGGTAACTGT